ACTTTGCGGAGCGCCGGGGCGGTGGCGTCCGGCGGGACCGCGCGGCCCCACTGCGGACCCGCGGGAGGCGGCGTGGGCTGCTAGGCTGACCACCGGGCTGAGCTGGTCGGCCGCTCCTCATGGAGTTACTTCTCGGAAGACCTTGGGCCGGCAGTGTGTAGACTGCTCTCATCTGCGACTTGAGAACTGAGGGCTTTGGGGCTGTGGTGTCCGTCAGACTCCACCGCCCTGCCCAGAACTACTCCCTGGGAACGGAAACTTTGGTGTCTGGGGCTTGCTGGGCTTGGGATGGCGCGCGGGACCCTGTAGATTGGCTTTCACCGCCCAGGTACAGCGGGAGGGAGAAGGGATGTGTGAGGTGCAGCCTCTGCCAGGCTGCGTAGATGGGCTCCGGGCGCGTTGCCGCTCCGTGCCTGCGGCCTGTTGGCTCTGTTCCTGCAGAAATTAAAAGGGATCCCCAAACCCAAGGACGGACTGTGTCAGGCGTGGAGCTCCTGAGTCCCAGAGAGGAGAAGGCACCCACCCCAAGAGGCACAGCAGGCCTGGGAGCTGGGACTGGAACTCTGGCTGAGTGTTTATGCCTTGGCTTCACCTGTGTAGGCGTTGTGGAGGGTGGGACTGGCCATTCTTTCCCATTTGTGGCCTTCTCAGGGCAGCCACAAGCTCTGTGTTTGTGCCAGAGAGACAGTAGTTGTCTGGGTGCCTGGCTGGACCAGCTCATGAGGGTTTGCCACTGTGAATTAAAGATGGAAGTTGAACCTTATGAAATGGCTAGTATTCAACTGTTTTTAACCCATAAAAGCAGCTTGGGGTGGAGCCCTGTAGAGTTCATTTGATTTGATGTTCTGAGGCCGCAGCCTGTGTAGGCCGTCGCCTGTGCTATGCCGTAGGATTCCCACAGTGCGTAGAACAGATGGGGCCTGTCTAGAAACTGGTTAGAGGCGCTGATCAATGAAGGACTAAAACACACGTAGATGCTGATCTTGTAGGGCCCCGGCCAGCCTCCGTTCTGGAGGCCTTATCTGGCCCTGGAGCCTTGCAGAAGGACTGAGTCTCTAGATTGGGAAGTTGATGTTGACCTCCCAATCTAAGAAAGCTCATGAGGTTTTGGCACTGTGAATTAAAGATGGAAGTTGAACCTTATGAAATGGCTAGTATTCAGCTGTCTTTAACCCATAAAAGCAGCCATTTGTAAGCCATTTGGTGGTTGGTTAGTATTAGCTGCTTTGATCTGCTTAATCGTTGTGTTTTTGTCTCAAAATAATCATCAGCACCCAGGAAAGACAGGAACATTCCATCCTGTTCTTGTTGGTCCTAGATTAATCTTTTTAACCTAATGTGCCAGCTTTCACTCCTTTGCAGACCCTCTGTGGCTTTTCACTGCCCTTATCATCTCTTATGACCAGCCACCCTGTGGTGTGGCCCCTGTGACCCCTGCAGCCCCTGGCTCCTTTGGTGTCTGGTGTGCTCTGTGGACTGTGGGGCTGCCTGGAACTGTTCTGCCTTCTGGTCCCTGCTGGAGAGAACTTCAGAGCTGTCCCTGATGCTCAATTACACAGCCCCATCCTGTCTTCATTCTCGTGCCCTCATTTCTCTCTCCATGCTGTATGAATTCACAGCTCATTAGGTGTGCCTGGACTAGACTGGCAACTCCATGTGGGTGGAGACAGGCAGAACCTGCTCCTCTGGTGACCCAGAGCAAATGCTGAGATGGAGGAGTAAGATGAGGGCTGTCAAGGGGACACCCGATGCCTGGGCTGGGCATGGGTGGTGAGGTCAGGGAGGACTCCAGAGGACGCTGTTGTTAACTGGTGCTGTGTAATGGGCCGCCTCAGAAGTCGACTCAGGGACAGTACAGCACTCACTTTATTGTCATTTCTTATTCTTGGGGCTGACTCAAGCAGGCAGTTCTCACGTAGGACCTCTTTCCCCTGGCACAGTGCTGGCTGGGTCTGGAACTTGCTGGGGGCTTCCTCACTTGTGCCTGGCTGCTGGCCTCTGTGTGTGGCTTGGGCTTCTATGCAGTATGGTGGCTGTGTTCCAGGAGTGGCTATTCCTAAGGAGGCCTGGTAGAAAACTGAGCTACCTGCTGTGACCAGGCCTGGCCAGACTGGAGAGAGTGCTTCCATGTGGTCACACAGGAAGCAGAGTGTGTGGGTGGAAGGTGTGGGCACAGCCTCCAGGGAGTGTGGAATCTGTTGCAATGTCCTTCTGGGTCAAGCTTTGAAGAGTGGAGAGCTGGAATGGGGTGCTGCCCTGAGAGAAGGGCCGTCCTATGCTCTGTGAGAAGTTGGGAGTCTTCGTGTATACCAGCTTGCTTCCTCCTCTGTCCCTAGAAGACCTGTGTGGGCCCTTGTCTGTAGTCCTCTCTTTTGCCTCTCTAGTGCTGTTCGTCGTCCTCTCTTTCGCCTTTGACCAGCCCCTGTTCTGTTCTTCCTTTCCTCTCCACAGAGCAGAGGCTTGACTTTTGTTGGCCTTTGACGCTGTGGGGGATATCCAGTATGTTCTAAGTAAATGGAAGTAGGACCTGGGAATCTGCCATTTGTGTGGGCACCAGAAACGGGTGGGGGAGGACGGCCAGCCATGACCCGTGATCCCTGGTAAGTGTTGAGGAGCTTGGAGCCCCTTGGAGATGCATGTAGGATCTGAGGCTGGTGGTCCTGGGGGAGCCAGCTGCTCACTTAGCCCCAGGTCCTGGGGTCTTCAGGCCTCTCTGCATTGGCTGTTCCTGGCTGGTGATCTCTGCTCTCATGCCTGAGCCCTGTTAGATGGCAAGTCAGATAGGGCTGAGTCCTCTTCAGACCCTGCTCGGGGACCCCAGGCCATCATTCCTGAGGCCAAAAGTTATTCTCATTCTTTCTGGACACTGAGCCTGTGGGGGCCGTTGTTAACCTGTCATCCAAACTGTGGCCTCGTTAGATGCTCCCCCACCTCACTTAGGCCTCTTGGCTGTGAGAACAGAAAGTTAGTCCCTTGGCATAGGTGGGAAGGTTGCTTTGGGAGCTCCTGTCCCCCCATCCCAGGCGGTCCTGGAGAGGGCTGAGGAGGGCTCCTGGCACCCTGGGTGCTCTCATCATGCTTTGCCATGCACGTGGCTGTGTAAGGTGGCCACAGGGCTGGCTTACCTGTGTGTCCAGGAAGGAGGTGAAGCCACCTTGCTTTACCAGGGCGTGAGGTGTGAGAGGCCCCTGGGCTGCAGGTCCCTGGCCTGCTTCTGAGCACCATAGGTGCTGCTTCCTGTGCTCTGTTTATGGCCCTCTGCCGCCGCTGGGTAGACTGTCTAAAGCTGGGCTGGTCCGCTCCCTCCCCACCAGACCCTCAGGGGCTTCTGGACCTCGGTCAGGTGAATACACCTTGCAGCCCTATTGCCAAGTCTCTGCAGTGCTGAGGGCACCCTGTGCCTCCTAGCTCTCCCTCCAGCATCAGTGTGCACTGTCCTTGTATTCTGAGCAGAGGGTGACGAGGATTTCTGACATAAGGCCTGAACTGAATTTGTACTGGTTTCACATGCTTACTGTGTGAATTTAGGTTAGTGGCCTGATCTCTCTGAGCTTTGGTTTCCTGGTTTTCCTTAAGGAGAGAATGAGCACACTTCATGTGAGGATTTCCCGAGCACCGAGTGACAAAGGAGTTCCTTCCCAAACTTTTAAGCTTTATTTTATTAAACATTTTAGTTATTTATGTTTGGCAGTGCTTTACTGAGATAAGTTCGTCTGCCTCGCAGTGGCCCTCTTGTAATTCGTAGAACTTCATGGTTGTTAGTATTTCCAGAGTTACATAACTGCCAACAGATAGTTGTAGAATATTTTTATCATCTTAAAAGCCCTGCACCTGTGGGTCCATGTTCTGTCTCTGGACTCCCCTGTTGCCTGGACTCTTCTGTCACTGGGTCACAAACTGTGGCCTGTGTGTCTGGCTGTCACTTAGCACCAGGTCCTCAGATCCCTCTACATTGCATCTGTCACCTCGCTGCTGCCCTGGCCAAGGATGCTCCAGGCTGGTTTGTGTTTCTGTTGGTCAGCTGATGGATGTCGAGGTTATTTCCACGTAGTTTCCATGTGAGTCTGACCCTGCTGTGACCGTTCATGTCCAGACTTCAGTTGGACATTCCCCAGGACTAGTCCACGACAGTGGTTGTGGTTATCGGTCTTTTTGATTGACGCTATCCTGTGACTGAGAAGGGGTGTTTTGCTGGGCCTTGGTGCTTCTGCATGCCGAGGGATGCTGAGTGTCTTTCTGTGAGCTGGTTGACCATTCACAGGTCTTCACTGGAGAAATGTGTTTTGTGGTGCTGGAGATTGAACCCAGAGCCTTGTGCATGCAAGGCAAGCACTCTGCCAATTGAGCTATAGCTCCAGTCCATCCTGTGTCCTTTTTTAAGTTGAGTTGTTTGCCTTTTTGTTACTGAGTTACAAGAGTTCTTTATACATGCAGGTCCCTTGCCAGGTGTATGATTGATTGGCAGGTGTTTTCTTCCATTCTGTGAGTTGTTTTACTTTATTGATAATGAAGTATGAAAGTTTTGTTTTGTTATTTTTTGGTCTGGGGATTGAACCCAGGGGTTTAACCACTGAGACACATTCTCAGCCCTTTATATCTTTTATTTTGAGAGAGGGTCTCACTAAGTTTCTTAGAGCATTGCTAAGTTGCTGAGGCTGGCTTTGAACTTCTGAGCTGCTGGGATTACAGGCATGTGCCATTGGGCCTGGTTCTGCTCTGTTTTTGTTTTTTTTAAAAAAATATATTTTTAGATGTTGATAGACACTTTTGTTCATTTATTTATATATGATGCTGAGACTTGAACCCAGTTCCTCATACATGCTAGGCAAGTACTCTACCACTGAGCCACAACTCCAGCCCCTGCTGTGTTCTTAAGGGGTATGTCTTATGCAACTTTTGTCACTGTTGTAAATGGAATTGTCTTAATGTTTTGATTGTCCATTGCTAGTATATAGAAATATAGTGAATATTTATGCATTGATCTTGTACCCTACAACCTTGCTTAGATCATTTATTCGTTTAAATAGTTTATAGTTTGGATTTTATAGGCACAAGATCATGTCACCAGCGATATAGTTCTGTTCTTTCCTTATCCATTTGGGTTCCTTTTATTTCCTTTTCTTGCGTGGATGGGGACCCCTGGGGAGGTGCTGAGTAGGAGTGGTGGGAGATAGCCCCCCACACCACCACATGGAGGGCAAGCTCAAGTCTGGTCTCTGGGTGTGGCTGTGGGCTTCCTGGGTGTCTCATCAGGCTGAGAGAGTCCCTTCTGTCCCTAGTTTCACACGCTAGATTGACATGCTGTGAAATCTACCTGAAATGTAGAATCAGTGGTTTTTCAGCCAGCACCTCTGTCTAGTTCCAGAACATTCCATCATCCCTTAAAGCAACACCGTTCCCGTGAGCGGTCAGTCCCCCACCCCTCCCCAGCCTCTGGCATGCATGAGTCCACATCCTGTCTCTGGACTCCCCTGTCCTGGATGTCTCCTGTTACTGGGTCCCACGCTGTGGCCTTGTGCCTGGTTCTTGCTGAGTGTGAGATCCTTAGGCCTGTGCATGCTGCAGCTTGGTTGGGATTGTGGGGTTGGTGGTGGGCAGTTTTTGCCATGTGGGAAGCTCTCCTGTGTGAGTGCTTGGGCCCTGGAGTGGGCTGTGTGGGTGCATGCTGCTTGTTCCATTCTCAGTGCCCCTGCCCAGCCTTTGGAGGCTGAGAGAACGCCACCCGAGGGGAGGTGGGAGCTGGGCCTTGGGCTTGTGGAGCTGACCTTGCTTTTCTGTCTCTGCAGGCCTCCTCGGTGGGGAGGCAGAGTCCTCACGTGGCCTCCTGCCTCGCTCACAGCCTATGTCCCAGGGAGCCCGGCTTGCAGACAGCAGGTACTGTCTTCCTGCCAAGGTCCATCAGGGCCTCTGGCTGTGAAAGGCAGAACCCTCTGGTGGCTTCCAGCCTCTGCTGGGTCAGGTGGAGGTGTGTGGCAGAGTGCTCAGGACCCCCTGTTCCCAGGCAGGGCCAGCTGCGACCCTGCGTGGACTAGAGTGCAGGTCTGCACTGGGGCTGGGGGTGGCATCTGCTTGTTGTGGCCTCCGGGAGTGACTGGCTGAGGGAGAACCGGCTGAAGGGCTAGGCAGGAGACACCCTAGGTACTTGCACCCACTGGGCGGGGATGAAGCTCCCAGGCCCTCTCCTGCTGGCCACTGCCCTGGCCCTGTGGAGGTGTTGCTGCAGGAGAGGAGAGCCCCTGTGATTGGACCCTTGCTGCAGGCTAGGCAGAGGGCCATCGCTCCAGCTGTAGCCCTGCAGGAGTGGCAATGTCCCTGTCTCCCTCCCACCTCCTCCAGGACTGGCTGTGGAAGTTCGAGGCACTGGCAGCCCTTGGTTCCCTCACCTGTACTGGGTACCACTCTGCAGGCAGCTGCCTAGCCAGTTGTGCTGACTCTGTAGCTGTCCTCCAGAGGCCACTGCCCTGGGCCCCCTGAGCTCCCACACCCCTGTCCTGGGGTTAATTGAGCCCTGGCTGTTTTCTCTTGTGTGTATTTTTTTTTTTAAGATTTTTTTTTTTTTAAGATGGACACAATATCCTTATTTATTTTTTTGTGGTGTGAGGATCAAACTCAGTGCCTCACATGTGTGAGGCAAGTGCTCTGCCACTGAAGTGTAGCCCCAGCTCCCTCTTGTGTGTATTTTGAATCTAACTTGCTGAAAGTCACTACGGAGGTGCAGTGGACACACCCTGGACCTTTGGGAAAACCCAAAGTCTAGCAGTGGGTCCTGTCCTGTGGGCCCTACTTAATAGTGCTGCTTCTTGGTGTGTTGACAGCTCAGCTCCATCCTGTAGTGAGCTGTGTAGCCCACCACCCCAGGTTTTAGGCGTCAGGGCCTTCCTGTGTCTATACTATGTTGTGGGGCCAGGCTTGGCCCTGGCATCTGGGAGCCCTTCTGCTCTTTCCACCCTAACCTCAGTGATACCTGCCTCTTAGGCCATTTACCTTCCTGCAGGCCTTCATGGGTATCTGTGTTCAGGAGGACCAAGCAGTCCCCAGAAAGAAACGCATGCCCCAGACCCTTAAAGTGTGTGTGTGTGTACTAATGTGCTCCTTGGTCAGCACCCCATGGTCCTCGGAGACTCTTGGGTTCGCATGCGGGAGCTGGCCCTGCTGGGTATCCTCTGTGTGCACCAGAATGCATGTGGATGCACACTGAGTGCTCCGTCCTTGGGATGGCAGGGCCACCACTGCCTTCCCTACCCTGGACATCTTCAGCTGCCTCGTGGTGGTTGGAGATGGGCACTGGGAGGTGCTTACCCAGGCTGGGGTCTCCTCCACAGTGGTGTCCATGGGCTCTGCAGACCATCAGTTCAACCTTGCAGAGATCCTGTCGCAGAACTATAGTCTCCAGGAGGAGTGCACAGAGCCCCTGCAGTGCCCTGAGAAGCCCGAGGAGGAGCTGGACAAAGACTTCATATCCCAGGTACTTGGCTAGCTGTGCCCTTCTGGGCACACTTGAGGTTTCAGCTCTTGGATTCTCTGTGCAAGCACCACGTGCACACCTGTTTACAGAATGCCAGCCTGACCCTATTCTTGTGGGGCTCTAGGCCATCTTGGCAGCTGGACATGACTGCACTGAGCTCAGGTCTGCTGTTCTCAGAGGTTCTCTGTGCTCCTGAAGTCAGGGAGGGACTGAGAAGCTTGCCTTTTACTGCGTTTTCCGTCAAAACTGAAGCATTTGACAATATTTGTTCACTAGTTCGTGAAAATAATAGTAGTACTGGGGTGTGGCTCAATGATAGAGTACTTGCCTAACGTGCCTGGGGCCTTTGGGTTCAATCCCAGCAGCAACAACCACAGAAAAGGCACCAAATATACGTTAATGGAAATAACCTTTTTTAAAAAATAAATATATTTTTTAGTTGTAGTTAGACATAATGTCTTTTTTTTTTAAAGAGAGAGAATTTTTTAATATTTATTTTTTTAGTTTTCGAAGGACACAACATCTTTATTTTATATTTATGTGGTGCTGAGGATCGAACCCAGTGCCCTGCGCATGCCAGGCGAGCGCGCTACCGCTTGAGCCACATCCCCAGCTCTGGACATAATATCTTTTTTTTTTTTTTTTAAAGAGAGAGTGAGAGAGGGGGACAGAGAGAGAGAGAGAGAATTTTTAACATTTATTTATTTTTTCTTAGTTCTCGGCGGACACAACATCTTTGTTGGTATGTGGTGCTGCTGAGGATCGAACCCGGGCCGCACGCATGCTAGGCGAGCGCGCTACCGCTTGAGCCACATCCCCAGCCCCTGGACATAATATCTTTATTTTGTTTATTTATTTTTATTTGGTGCTGAGGATCAAACCCAGTGCCTCACACGTGCCAGGCGAGTGCTGTACCGCTCAGCCCCAGCCCCTGGAAATAACATTTTTGTGCAGATGAGAAAATTATTCCATTTTTTAAAAAAACAAAAGAATTTGTGGAGGAAGGGGAACTTCATGGAGTGTCTGCCAGCTATTCTTCCAGACAGAAGTGGACGGTGGGCTCCTGCCTGCCCCATCCGTCCCATGCTCTGGAGTGGCTACCTCCCTACTTACACAGCAGGCGCTCTGTATGCCTTCCGCACCCCGCACAGCTATCATGCCTGTCAGGGTGAGAGCTGTTGAGGTTGCTGACTTCATACTGAGTGTTCAGAATAGTAGCCCCGCTCTGTGGTGCACTGCTGTGGCTGTGCTGGACCAGTCTTGTGCCCACAGGCTCTTCAGGACTGGCCTGTGTGTCAGCGCAGTGGAGGGTGCAGGTACATCAGGCCTGCTGCAAAGGTATCCAGGGAAGTGGGGTCTCAGCCTGCTACCAGCCTCCGTCACGTCATTGGGAGCCCCATGGCCGTGCCCAGATGCTGCCTGTTGTCTCCAGGGCCAGGGCTGGAAGGAGCTGCTGGTTCTCTGTGAGGACCTAAGGCCCTGAGAATGAGGACAGGAGTTGGGGGTATAAGGAGGGAGGCAGGAGCTGGGCAGTGTGATGTGCACAGAGGCTGTCCCTACCTGTCCCTGTTCTGGACTGGTAGCCTCTAGACTCAGATGTCTCTGCCTGTCCCAGGCTGCAGAAGAGCTCCCAAGGGCTGGGCACCTGTACCTGTCCTGGGCTGTAGAGAAGTCCCCAAGGGCTGGCCTGAGGGTTGGCAGGGCAGCACAGCCACGTGGGGTCTTGCTGAGAAGTAGACAAATGGTCCTGGTGGTGGAGCCCTGGGAGCCTCAGTCAGAAGTGGGGACCAGAGCCCTGGGCAATCTCCTAATAGGGCTCATCCCCTCCGGTGCAGAGCAGTGACATGCCCCTGGACGAGCTGCTGGCACTCTACGGCTACGAGGCATCTGACCCCATCTCAGAGCGGGAGAGTGAAGGTGGTGAATCAGCCCCCAACCTCCCAGACATGACTCTGGACAAGGTGAGTGAGGGTCCCTCCCAGAACTGGCCCCCAGTAAAGGGGGGACTCACACATGGCCCCTGACTGCTTCCATGTGGGAGCCAGCAGAGGCGGCCCTGTGCCCACAAGGGAGATGCAGTCAACAAGCCCAAGGCCAAGGGAGGGTTGTTGTCCACCTGTGGTTTCCTGTCCAGGTTCAGGGTGGTTCTGGGCTGGCCCATGGGCATTCTGGTTTGGGTGGATGGAGCGGGCAGAGGAGATGCCAGGGGAATCACGGGACAGGATGCTGGGGCTTCCAGAGCATGGGGTCTCTGTCAGGGAAGTTGAGAACCAGACGAAGTGAGAGTGTGCCACAAGCCCAGCTCCAAAGTGGGCACGCCCACGGCTCTGTGCTGTGGCCAGGGTGGCAGCAGCGATGTGTTGTGTTGATGGTAAAACAAACCAAATTGCATCATTTTCTCTGCTCTCTTGTTAAAAGGAACAAATAGCGAAGGACTTGCTTTCAGGAGAAGAGGAGGAGACACAGTCCTCTGCTGATGACCTCGCCCCATCTGTCACTGCCCATGAGGCCTCAGTCCTCTTCCCCAACCAAAGTGGGTGTAGGTGTCCCCGTGCTTCCCTCCACCAGCCTGGCCTGTGCCTGGCCCTGGGGATGCAGGCAACTGGCCTTAGGTTGGGTGAGCAGAGCTCCAGCTGGGATGTGGGGTGGAGGGTACCATGTGTACTGGGATGCTGAGCTCTCCTCTGTCCTGGCCTGTGAATCCTCAAGGTAATCATGGCTTAAACCAGGAGGGAACTTGTTAGTTTTTCTAGCAGGTCCAAAGATAGCATTCCTAGACTGTCCCCAACCATCCTACTCCAGGACCTGCCTGCCTCTGTGCTGGCTTTCTGTGGCAGCAGAGAGGCCCCTCTTTGTAGGTGGTTCTTGGCCCTGTGCTTAAGAGGAAGGTCATAGTGGAGGATGGGGTTGTAAAAAGAAGGGAGTATCCAGGCTGCAGCCTGAGAGCAGGGGTCGGCCCACTCCCAGGGCTGCAGGTGCAGCTCACTTCTCTTTCCCAAAGCCCGCTTCCTGGCTGGTGACGGCAAAGAGCCGGGTTCCTCTGCCTCCTCTGACACCGAGGAGGACGCTCTTCCTGCCAACAAATGTAAGAAGGTATGTAGCTGGCAGCTCCTGACCCTGTTGGCCAAAGCCAGGACCAGCTGAGCCCTTGATTTGGGTTTGTGCCCTTTGTCCCAGGGGAATGGCCCACACAGCTCCCAAGAGGTGGGCCGGACCAGCAGCAGGGTCTTGGGACTGTGCTCTGTGCCTGCCCTGGGGTCCACCCTTGGGCCTGGCAGTGGGGCCAACACCTTGTCTGGGGCCTGCTGGGCTGTTGTCAGGATGTTCTGGATCTCCCATTGTCTGCTGGCAGGTTGCACAGGCGGGTTGGGGCAATGGTCTGCAGCCTAGAGTCCAGGCAGGGCTGTGGCAACTGGCCTCCCAAGTGGCTGGAGGCTGGCTGGGCTCCTGATACTGACTTTTCCTCTGTAGGAGATCATGGTGGGACCTCAGTTCCAGGCTGATCTCAGCAACCTGCACCTGAGCCGACATGAGAAGAGTGAGTAGCCAGAGCAGCAGGGGACCCCAGCTCAGCAGCTGGTCTATATGGAGACTAGGGCCCAGCCTGGGCTGTGCTGCCACATGCTGAGCTGTCCTTCCTTCTGTGCAGTCTTGGCCCCAGCCACCCTTTTCCCAGCCCCTCCCCTCTCCTTCTCCCTCCTCTTGCAGCTAGATGTCCTTGCAGATACCTTCCTGTGGTCCCTGTCTCTCCTTCCCTGCTTTGATCCTCTCTAGGTGCTTGCTGTTCTGGGATGTGATGCTTGTCTTTCTGTCCCCACCCCACCACCACCACCAATCTGGAGCCCTCTTGTTCCTCTAGACTGGCCACCTGCTGCTGGCTTGGGTTTTGTCCTTTTGCCCTGGAGCCCTGCAGGGCCCAGGCCGTCCTGCTGGGGGATTGTTTCCCTGTGACTCAGCAGTGGGATTGGGGTCCGGGACAGAGCAGAGTACTGAGGGTAGAGGGGTCTCTCCCGGGTGCCTGGGATGTGCCTGCCTCAGTAGGGCCGTAGGTGACGAGAGGTGCTGCCCTAGAAAGGGCCCTCCCTGTGCACTCCTTGGCTATGCCCTTGAGGGGCTCGAGCCTTGGTGTAGACTCCAGCTGGACCCTTCCTGGCCCAGCTTGCCCCGGGGCTGTGCCCTCCTGGGGCAGCCAGGGCTGTTCCTGTGGCCGCTGGCCAGTGTTGCATCTGGGAGGACATCTGCGCGGCCTGGGCAGCGTGCCCTGCGTGTCCTCACAGCGTGTTCCTTCCTTGCTGGTTGGTGTTGCTCTCTTCCCCACGTGTCTCTATTGTGCGTGGGCAGGCTGTGCAGGAGATCCCTCCAGTGCTGGCCTTGCACTGCTCCACACCTTGCTGCAAGAGTCTCCCATGGAGGGGACTGCCTCATTGCGGCTCTCGCTTGTGCGCAGTGTGCACTAGCCACTTGGACGTACTCAGGCATGGTGCATGTTCAAGGGTGTACAACCTGTAGCCTGGTTCTCTCTGAGGGGGCCACTGTCTGGGGTTGGTATCTGCACTGCCATAGTGCCCTTTGGCCCTGGCTGATACCTAGGTTTTAATGAGGCACTGTTGGTTTGTGTTTTTGGCAGTGTGTTGGGGTGGCGGGCTGAGGTCCTGGGAGACTTTCCTTTGGAGGTTTTCCCGCTGGCATGGGAGACTGTGCTGTCTGAGCTGCTGCTGGTGGGGCCTGAGGCTGTTCCAGGTGTGCATGCCTGGAAGCACATTCTTTCCCCTCTGGGGCAGGGCCTCTCTGACCATTGGGCTCTGCTCTGGCATGTTTGCTGAGGTTTTAGGGTTGGCTGGTCACTTGCCTCAAGAAGCTGCCAGGGTTTTGAGGAGGCTTGTGCTGAGCTGGAGGTTAGGGGGAGAGGTGCTGGGTCAGCAGTGGCAGCAGTTCTGCCTGTGGGTCTGGGTTGCTGTGCCCTTGGGCCTCCAGCGTTGACAGTGCTTGTGTGCTTTCCAGGGTGGCACTTCTGTCTTCAGTTACGGTGCTGTCACAAAGGATATTCCAAACTTGGTACTTCCTGCTGGATTCTTGCTGGTAGAACTGCAATTTGTTATTTTAACTGATCTCGTACGTAATCAGTTTAGAACTTTGTGGATCTGCTAGTTTCTTACTGCCCCATTGTGCTGTTTGCTGAGGACAGCGCAGCCTCTTTCTTTCCAGTCTTTGACTTGTTTTCCCTTGACCTGTGTCCCTGTGAGTGCAGGTCAGGGTGGGAGAGGAGTGGATGGTGTCTGTCCTCGCCTTCAGCCTCAACTCAGGACTCACACTGCACACTTCTCATGGGTGGGAGTCCCCTGTGGGGCCATCTTGGCTGTTGCCGCTAGGCTTGTGCACTGGTTCCGCTGTGTGCTGGGCACCCCCTCTGTCTTGTTTTTAGTGGCTGTGCGGTGCTGAAGCCCCTCCTCATGTGGCCCGACCTCCTTGTTGCTTGTGGAAATGTGTGTGCACCAGGCTCAGCACTGCGCGGCAAGACTGTTGCCACCCCTTCTTTCCTATGGCCAGTGGGTGCCTTCCGTAGCATCGGCTCCTCATCATCACTTCCCTGAGTATAGGAGTGCTGCACTGGGCCAGCTTCCTGCTGCAGGTGCTACAGGGTGTGAAAGAATCGGGAAACAACACCTGGAAACCTGCTGATTTGCTGGCTGACGGCAAGCGTGTGCAGCAGCCCCATGGGCCTGCTATGCTCTGCCTGGCCTGCTGCTGTGTGCCGAGCACCTGTGTCCCTGAGCTGGGCTGCTCTCTTGCGCTGTATCTGGAAGGGTCCCTTTCTTCAGCCTCCAGGAGAGAGTGTGATTGTGTGTGTGTGTGTGTGGCTGTAATTACCCCTTTGAAAGTTTGCAGGAACACTTCAGTGGAGCGCCCTGAACCTGGGGTTTGGTTCTGCTTTGTTTTTTGGAAGGTCATTAATAAAAACTTCAGTTGGTTGAACCGTGGGGATCTGTTGGAGCGCCCTCTCTGGTGAGCCGTGCTGCAGGTGGTGGGCTCTGGTGGCACCCTCCTGCCCTCCTGCTGGAAGTGTCTTAGGTTTCTGGTGACACCCCAAGGTTTCCGACTTGGCATTTATGTCTTCCCTTTGTTCTCCGGCTCAATCAGTCTTGTTTGGGCTTCATCAACTGTCTTACTCTACAGAGGGCCAACATAGGCTTCTTGACTTCCTTTGCTGTCTGATTTCCATTTAATTTTTACTTTTATCTTTATTCTCTTGTATTTTATTTCAATTCAATTTGTCGGTCTCTAGTGTCTGTTGTGATTTCTTGATGATGCATGGGTTCTCAGAGGTGTTCTGTTTAAGTTCAAAATACTGGGGATTTTATAGTGACCTTTGTTGGCAGCCATCTACCTGTCAGAGAACAGAGAGCGTCACTGAAGTCCCCTGTAGCTGGTTGAGTGTGTCCACGAGCCAGACTTAGACTGCTATAGAGATGCTATTGGCTATAGGCAGAGGCTTCTGTGTGTGTCTCTGAGGTCACCCTGCTAGCTCCGGTCCACACCAGCTGTGTGTCTTGGCACACTGGATCTTATTTATCTGTTGTGGTGGCGTTGGTGTTTTAGTGTAATGGCGAGTCCACCTGTGTGTTCAGGTACTATGAAGACCCATCATTTCAGCATGAAACCATGAGCTTTGGGGTCCCATCTTTCTGTTTGCTTTTGTTTTTTCTTGGTTTCCTTTTGATTTTTCAAATGCTCATTTGTCGGTCTCCTGGTTCCAGCCACATAGCCTAGTCTGTAATGACCTTGGAATTCTCTCCTAAGGTCACGTGACCAGTCTTTCACAGTGTCACTTGACGATGTGCTGCCCTTACCCCTGCCCTTGTGACTTCCACCAGTTGGCAGTGTGCATGGCGCTGCCAGCCTGAGCATTGCTGAGGCGCTTCTCGTGGTCCTTGCTGTGCAAGAGATGGCTCTGAAGGGCTGGTCAATTGTTGTCTGAACAACTCCAGTTCTGGGTGTTTGGCTTGCTCTGTGCACCCACGGGCAGGTCCACCTCCTTCTGGCTGGTGTCTGTTGGTCAACGGCTTGCTGTGGCCTCTGCTGTCCTTCTACCCTTCCCTGTGTGTGAGTGAGGGTCTGGCCTTGCCTTTTCCAAAGCATTTTGCAGTGGTGTGCTTTCCTACTTGCTCGTCTCCTTGTGGGTGCTGCCTTCCCAGGCCAGCTCATCAGTTGAGTGTCTGCTCCCCGAGGCATGGGCACATCCTTGGGCTGCTGGGGGGCTTACCCTGCAGACTCTGTTCTTTCTCAGGACGCTTGAGCTGCATCTTTCGCTTCCAGGAGCCCTGTCTTGTGCTAGTCCAGGCTGCTGTGGGAACACCACCACCACCACCACCACCCCCCACCCCCCCGGGCTCATATTGTAGTTTGGGTTTGCAGTCCTGGAAGTCCCTCAGCACAACTTCCACTCTCTGCCTAGAGCCCCTGCTGGTCTTCCCTCTCATCCTCCTCTGCCTGTCTGAGCTTTCGGTCCTGGCATGCTGGCTTCGTATCAGCCTCATGGTTGCTGGTGCCTCATATTCCTCTTACATTTTTTCCTGACCATGTTCCAGGCCGTGTGTGATGTTGTCTTCTCCAGAGATTGTCCCACTCTTCTCTCAGGGACCCCCTTGGTCCAGGCAGGGCTGGAGTGTGGGCTGCAGGAGGGACTGTGCTATCTGAGCGTGTCTGCCCAGGCCGTTGGCGCCAGGAGTAGCCCGCTGGGTGTGGTTGAAGGTGCCTTGGACTGTCCTGTGGAACAGTTCTCCGGGTGTGCTCCATGTCCTGTGGTGTGCGGTGGCTTTGTTTTGACTGTCCTGCAGAACAGCTGTCTGGGTGTGCTCCATGTCCTGCCGGTGCACTGTGGTTTTGTTTGGCCTTGTGGGTTTGGTGCTTGGTCCCTGCAAGCCCGGGACTGCTGAGGGGTACAGGTGCTGGTTTGTCCCCGCCACAGCTGAGCTCTTCCTCCCTGTCCTGAAGCCAGTTGCTGCTTGTCCTCTGCCTCTGAGTGTGCCTGCCACCCACCACCACTGTGGCAGGACTGACCTGAGTCCCTTGGTCTGTGCTGTAGTGGCCAGGATACCCCTGCCCTTGCTTGGGGGCTTCTTGGCTTCCTCTGCCACTGCCTCTGGTGGTACTGCCTGTCGCTGTAAGCTGGCCACATCCTGCGTTCCTGTGGGCCCTCCCCAGAGCTTTCTGGACTCCTCTAGGAAGTTTCCTTTGAGCTCCTGGCTGTGTCAGGTGTCCACTGGCCCACTCGGGGCCCCGATGGCTCCAAAGCTGGCCCTGGACCTGTTTGTCACTTTGAATTGCAGAGGCTCAGAGATAGTGGGCCCAGACCACAAGAGTGTGAGGCATTAGTTGGTATCCACCCCACTGGGAGGTGCTGAGGTGGCTGCTCCAACTCTCCTAGCATGGCCTGTGACTTGACCCACGCCCTTTTCTGCCGGCAGTCTATGAGAATGAAGACCAGCTGCTCTGGGACCCCAATGTCCTCCCTGAGAGGGAGGTGGAAGAGTTCCTGTATCGGGCTGCGAAGCGCAGGTGGCAGGAGATGGCGGGTTCTCAGCTCCCTCAGGGAGAGACTGTGATAGACAGCGAGCAGGTGGGCTTCCAGGTCGGGCAGGGCCGCAGTGCCAGGGGGTCAGGCCTACCAGCTGTGCAGGGTGGGCAACCGTGGTCACAAGTTCATGTCAGAGCCACTTGTCGAGATGTCGCTCTAGGCGGTGGTGCTGCTGCCCCCTGTCACTTCTGGGCAGTGGCACAATTGACCTGTGCCACTCTTGGTGGTGGCATGGACACCCCTGATGTCATTCCTGGGAGATGGCACGATGTTCCTGCTGTTGGGTCCAGGTGGACGTGTGAGGAGAGTAAATGGTACCTCTCCCCTAGGCACTGTACGAGCTGGTGAAGTGCAATTTCAATGTGGAGGAGGCCCTGCGGAGGCTGAGGTTCAATGTGAAGGTGATCCGAGGTGAGCCCAGCCCTGGCCTCTCTGCTGGTCCATGCTGCCCCCTGGGGCCCAGTTGACCACCCCCTGCTGTTTGCAGATGGACTGTGTGCCTGGAGTGAGGAGGAGTGCCGGAACTTCGAGCACGGCTTCCGCGTGCATGGGAAGAACTTCCACCTGATACAGGCCAACAAGGTGCATCTCCCCTCTCTGGGGAGAAGGCAGGGGCTCTGGCAGGCCCAGGGATCACCTCTTGCTCTGGTGTCCTCTCCTCACGTTGCCAGGCCCCTTTCCTGTCCTCAAAAGCAGAAGCCTCCGGCGTGGGAGTGAATCTGCTAAAAGGTGGACCGGACCCTCTTGGCCAGCTGTGGGTATTGCTGAGGCTCCATGTCCCAAGTGGACCTTTGTTGGCTCAGTCCCAGCGCAGACCCCACCTTGGCCCACGTCCTGGCCTTGGGGGTCAGCTGACTCATCCAGGGACACTGTCCTCCCGCCTTTCCATGGCTGTCCTGCTCTGGGGGCTCTCGGGGTCCTAGGGCAGTGCCACTGGCTGCTTTCTTGGCCTGGCTGGCAGCTCCCTGAGCCTCTCCCCTGTTCCCGTTGGTTTCCTGATCCTTTTGGGGCAGATGTCCCTCCTGATGGGTCCAGGTGGATGGGTGAGGAGAGGAACCAGAGGTGCTTACGTGGTGGGGGGTGTCTTGGTGTCTCGCGATCCTCTTCTGAGGGTCACGGTGCAGGAGGCCGTGTCCTGTGATTGGGCGTAGGCTGACTTCCCAGTGCTGGACTGGAAGCGGCGCTGCCCGCCCCGCTCCTGATTAGACCTTGGTGTGCAGAGCCAGGAGCACGGATCTGTGGCACGTTCCTCTCTGGGTGTTTTCTGGGCTGTGGGAGACAGCAGCGGTCCACGGAATGCCCACTGCCTGGCCCTCGTCTAGCAGCTGCCTTGTGCGCATGCAAGGCCGCCCTCCAGAGAGGCCGCCTGGCTTTCCTGTATGGGGGGTCACTGGGCTCCTCAGTGCCTCGTGTTGGTTAGCAGTAGGCTTGGGTGACGTCTTCCCCAGGCTTGCAGCAGGATGTACCTCCTGGTGTGATGCACCGAGCAACGGGGCCTGCATCCCCCTCATCAGCAGCTGTGCATCCCCAGCTCGGGGCTTCTGGGGTGTTGCGTGACTACCCCCTTCCTGGGTGTCACTGTGGGGCTCGTACAGTGTCCCTTGGCTCAAGTGCCATCCTCTGGCTGTGGGCTGCACCTGCTGACTGCAAGGGGCCCACAGGAAGGACTGGTCGACCAGAAGGCTGCCAGCCATCCTTGGCGCTTGCCTCTGGGGTGTGGAGGCAGGTGCTGGGTGGGGGCTCTGGGTCTGATGTTGGTACCACAGAGAAAAAGAAGGGTCCCAGGCTAGGAGGTGGAGTCTCTGATGGGGCCTCAGGATAAGGCTCTGGCCAGCAGCAGTGGCCATGAGCCCCAGATGGAGGACCTGGGGGCCTGGACTCTTGCTCTGAAGGACCTTGGAGCCTAGACTCCTGCTCCGACCCAGTGGCCCTAGGGGCCTGAGGCTGGGCAGTGGGGCCAAGGATGCCTGTCTGTCCATCTTCAGGTGCGTACACGATCAGTGGGCGAGTGTGTGGAGTACTATTACCTCTGGAAGAAGTCGGAGCGCTATGACTATTTTGCCCAGCAGACGCGGCTGGGCCGGAGGAAGTACGTCCCGTCTGGAACCACGTGCGTGCAGTGCTGCTGTAGCAGTAACGTCCGCGTCGGCCAGGCTGGGCTGCCCACTGCAGCCTGGGGGTGGGTGTGGAGGGCATCTGGGCAGCACCTTGGGCAGGTGGTCCTGCCTGCCTCCCTGCACCTCACAGCCTGCTCTGCACAGGGACACAGACCAGGACCTGGAGGGAAGTGACCCTGATGGCCCCACTCGTCCCCGCCCTGAGCAGGACACCCTGGCGGGGGTGCGCACAGGTGAGAGAGTGGGTGGCAGCCGGTCAGGGACTGTGGGGACAGCCAAGGGGCCTCTAGCACCTGTCTGGGTCAGTCGCTGCAGTGAGCAGGGGGTGTCCAAGTGGCTGAGGTCATCTCAGGAGGGAAGCTTTTGAGGATGGGTCATGTCTGTCATCTGGGCCTTCTGGGGAGTGGCTGGGTGGCCCCCCACGAAGGCCCAGGCTTTCTGTCACTGGAGCGCCTGCCTGTCCCTGGGGTGGGTGCTTAGTCCTCAGCACCAGGCCACTTGGGGAGGACAGGAGTGGCTCTGAGCTCTCAGCATCCTGGGCCCTGGGGTCATCTGGGAGCCAGACTTGGCCCCATGAGTTCTCCATGCTCTTGCTGGTGATGCCCCTAAGGGACAGGAGCCAGGCCCTTTGCTTCCTGGGGCCGTGTGTGGAGGTTGAGCTGGAGAGGGATGTCTGCTCTCTGTGGTTGCCCCAGAGGCCTGCAGGTGTGACAGGCCTGTGTGCTGCTGGCTGGGACAGTCTCCAGGAAATCACCCCCAGCTGCTGTGGTCTCCTCTGCTGCTGCTGTGCTGTTGGAGACATGGCTTGTGGCCTGCATTTGCTCTCACACTTTCCAAGGCTGGGCCGTTGAGCTGGGTCCACCGACTGCAGTGTGGCAGGCATCTTTGGCCTTGGAAGTGTGTTGTGAAGGAGCTGGGCAGCACCACAGCTGCCGCCTGGCTGCATGTGAGGCCCGAGGCAGGAGAGTCCTGTGGCTCTTGGGCCCTGGTGGGGTTGTTGGGGTCTCCCAGCTGTGTTCTCTTCCCACAGAGCCGCTGAGCACAGATGGCACATCCAGGAGCCTTGGTGAGCCTGAAGTGGGCTCCGATGGCCTGCTGTCCTCGGAGCCAGGGCCTTGCCCGTTCCCGCAGCTGGATAAACCCCCTGCCGTGACCCTGCCCCAGCCGCCCCCAGCCCTGGCCGACCCAGGCGTGTACCCCTCTACTGCAGCTGCTCCAGAACCAGGTGCCAGCCCGAGACTGGCTGTGGACTTCACGCTGCCGGAAGAGCTGCCCCTCATCTCCAGCCATGTGGGTCTGAGCGAGGACCCAGAGGAGCCCGCGGCCCCGGCGCAGGTGGCCTTGTCGGTCACTGAGTTTGGACTCATTGGCATCGGGGACGTGAATCCCTTCTTGGCTGGCCATCCAGCGTGCCCGGCCCCCGGGCTGCACTCGGAGCCCCTGTCACAGTGAGTGCCACCTGCCTAGGCAGAGCTGGGCTGACCCAGCCAAAGGGTGGTGGCCCTGTGAGGGTCGTGACTGCTTTCCTAGTCTTATTCTCTTCCACCATCTGACCCATTTTGACGTGGTAATATGATCACATGTCCAAAAACGTAAGAAGGTACAAATGAGGGCAGGTGTTGGGCTCCCAGTGCACGCTGCCTGAGGGGTTTGGGGGACAAGTGGCTCTGGGGGAGGTGAGGGGGAGCCGTGTGGAGCCACACAGGCGTGGCTGACTCTGGTCCTCGTCTCTTCTGCAGCTGCAACGTGATGACCTGTTGATCCCTGCCGTGGGCGGGCTGTGTGGCCCACAAGGGACTTGAGGGCACCACCCGGCCTGCCCCCATCTTCCTGAGCCCTCCCCAGCTTGGGCTGGGTTGCCACCTTCTCTGCTTTCGAACGAATACTGGGACCAGGGTGAGGTGGCTGGGCCTCTGGCCCTTGCCCTTCCACCCAGACTGGACCCTGGGCCACCACCACCCAGCTCCAGGCTGTACTGCACCCTGGGATCCATTGGGCATCCGGTCTCAGAGAGGGCCTGACCCTCAGGAGTCAGGGCAGAGCTGGCCCCCTGGCCCCTCGTAGCCAGCAGAGGCAAGGGCAGACATCACTGCCCACGGGGAGGTGGGCAGGACCTACTGCCTGCACCAGCAGCTTCTGCCTGGGTGGCCTCAGCACCAGTCAGCTCTGTCCCTGATGGGACAGGGCTGCAGGCTGCCCTGCCTGGGCTTGGTGCCAGCTCTGCTTAGTGCCGGATCTTGGGGTGCAGAGCCATATACCTCGCTTTCTGTCCGGCCTCCCTGCCCTCAGCCCCTGCCCACGGCCCCTGCCCACAGCCCCTGCCCACATCTCCACTTCAGGAAATGCCGCACTTTATGCCTACCTGCCTCCCGCCTTTCCACCCATCCTGACCCCGAGCGACTGGTGGGGTCCTTAGCAAGCCCTGGGGTGGGGAGGGTTCGAGGAGCTTGGTGGTCCACCCCCTTGCTGCCCTTTCCCCCTCAGCACCAAGGCTGGTTGCTTCAGAAGTGCTGCTGTCGCCTGCACCGAGGCCGGACTCCGGCGCGCTTGCCTGCCCCCTGCCCCCTGCAGTTCTTTGTCAAGGTGTCCCAGCAGATGGCCGGGATCCTGTCTTCTTTCCGGCCTCCTCCCTCTATTTATGTTGGTGTTTACAAGTCAGAGTGGTCCTCTGGCCAGGTGTACAGCTCACCTGGGATTGTGGGGCAGGGTCCTGTGGGCTCTCTGTAGCCGCACATGGCCACCTGGCCCACCAAGGACCACACCGTGCAGTGAAGCTGCCTTCACCCCTTCGCTGTTTTATTTATTAAATCTGATTTGAATCCCAGGTGCCTCGTGGTGATGGGTGGGGGCTGAGACTCAGGCCATCGTCTTGCAGGGGACTTGAGTCCCGCTTGAGGATCTGGGCCAACCGGTGACCTTGACAGCAGGGGGTGTGGCCTGGAGACATGGGGACCGTGGAGTGGTCCTCATGGTGGACACTGCAGCATAGTGCTGGGTCAGGGCTGGGGCTACCTCGGGAAGCGGGTTTGTGCCAAGCCCTGCAGGAGGCCAGGGCAGAGGCGGCAGCAGGTGGAGAGGGCTCTGCCCCAGAGGTGGGGCACAGTGGGGAGGGCGGCGTATAGTTCTGAGCTCATCCCTGGGACCTTGCTTCCCTCTGTGCCCGGGGTGGTGCCGAGGCTACCGCCCCTCTTGGTGGAAGGCATAACTCCTGGGCCCTAGGTGGCTGCCAGGCAGAGTGATTTTCTGTTACCTGAGGTGGCAGGACAGGCCTTGGAGCAGGAACTGACATGGGGTGAAAGGAACAGCCAGGGCCAGGAGTGCAAGCCCCAACAGGTCGTAGTGTGCTGTGCCTGTCCCTGAGGGTGAGAGGCATCGGGGTACTTCTCTCAGGCTGAGGAACTTGAAGACCTAGGGTGCGGTGGGTTGGAGAGGGCAGGGCCGTGCCAACCTGGGGTGTCATCTGTTTCCTGTTCCTGCGGATGGTGTCCTGGGTTGGGCATGTGTGGAAAAACGGGGGGGGGGTGGTGGTGAGTGTAGTCTTGGCCAGGGTGGGTACGGTGCCTTCGGGCTGGTTGGGAGCTCAACTCAGGTTTCAAGCTCTGAGGGAGGCACCAAGCTGTTCCTGCTGACCACACCTTCTCTGCCTTCCAGCCAGCCCCTGGTGCGTGCCGAGGGACCAGCTCCATCTGGCATCCAGTCATTGGGGTGGCCTGGCCCCTCTGTCCTCAGCCTTGTGTGGTTTTCCAGGGTCGTCTTTAGTGGGCAAAGAAAGGCCTTTCATGACCCCTGTGAGAACCTGCACTGGACAAGTGCAGGTGGTTGCCATGAAGGCAACAGCCAGGGCTTCTCAGCAGTGGCCAGTGTTCCAGAGCTGGTGGTGCTGGCTGGCCCTGCCCCAGGATCTTGGCCTCGTTGACCTGACCACCGCGTCCTGGAGACCATGCAGCTCTTGTTTTCCTGGTTGGTACTCCCAGGGAGAGCTGCCAGGTGAAACACAGGGTGCCCAGTTTGGTTCTGTACAGATAAATAATTCTGACATAAGTGTATCCCATATAATATTTGGGATATACATATTCTAAAAAATGGTTGTTGCCCTGTTAGGATCCAGATTTGTGTTGTCATACTACATTTAAAACAAAACAACACTTATTTATTGAGTTGTAGGTGGACCTAACACCTTTATTTTATTTGTTAATGTGGTGCTGAGGATAGAACCCAGGGCCTCACGCATGCCAGGTGAGCACCCTACCTCTGAGCCACATCCCCAGCCCCATACTGTGTTTTTAGTACAGCCCGTTCTTGGGCTGTTCAGGAGGATGTTGAGACGGGGGTGGAATCTTCAAGTGCCTTGGGAATGTCAGTGCCTGTTTCCTGCAGAGGGTGTCCCTGGTCCTGCCCTGCAGGCACAGGTGCTCCAGTCACAGCCAGCCCAAGGTGTCCCATGGGACTGCAGAGCCAGGAGTCACTCCTGTGCAGGGGAGAGTTGGAAACAAGGTCCACAGGGCACATTTGGGATTGTCCCCCACATTGGAGGAGCTGGCACCTGGGGAGGCACCAGGAGGGTCACCAGAAGGCCCTTAACCCTTGAGCACAGTGGCCTCAGGAGCTGGGTCTTCAGCCTGTGGGTCCTGTGTTGTGCTTTGCCGATGGCTTCTGCTACCCTGTTTAAGCTTGCAGCAGGGGTGGGCCTGGAGAGTGAATGGGCTGGACCGGACCGCCACTTCACTGCTGAGGTACCTCCTTGCGCTCCTGTCTCGTGGTCTGGTGATGGCTCAGTCCAGCGGCCCTGCAGCCTCAGGCTCTGGGCCTCCAGGCCTCCCTTCAGCTCCTGCTGCTCACTTCCTCATTTCTTGAGTGCCTGCCAGGCCTCTGCTGTGTTTGGCCTTGCCCTCCTGGTGCTGTTGTGCACAGGCACAGCTTAGGTGGTGTGTCTGGGCCCACAGGGGACCCAGGCGCAAGCCTGTGGCCAGCGTGTCTGCATGAGTTGGGTGTGGCCGAGGTGTCTTCACCCAGGACCCTGGAGCTCACCCCATTCCTGACTCTGAGGTGTGGTCCTGCATGGGGGGCTCTCCAAGGATTGTGCCACTGTGCGGTTCTTGGACCCCAAGGACACTGGCGCTGGACCCTGGATCTGAAGACTGAAGGTGTCCTGCACACCCCCCAGCCCTGTTGTCTGCCTCCTGGGCCTTGCAACAGTGCTTCCCAGTGTGCCTGCTGCAAGCCATGGGGTCTAAAGTTGGGCAGAGGAGACCCAGCACACCGAGACCTATTCCACACCAGCTCCTCGGAGCTTCGCCTGCCCACCGACTGTCTTTGAGTCCTGTTGGCAGCCCTCCAGCTCTAACCTGTGGCCTCCCTGGCCCTGGGAGGTAGGGAATCTTGTAACCCTGACTTTGGTGTGCAACTTCACCAAGAGAGGAGGGTGCAGGTAGAGTGCGGTCTGTCCTTGGTTGGCACCTACTGAGTGCCAGGCCCTCCACACACTGCCTGGGCACTTCCATCCCCACAGCCATCTGGAGGCTGTAAGTTACAGTGAGGCCCTGAGTGGGCATAGGTGGCACTGAGCTCCATCGCTTGGGAACCACCAGGCCCCCGGAACTAGTCTTCTCTTGGACCGCAGCACCTGTCCATCCCTTCCAGGTCTCCATCTGCAGGTGAGGGAGGGCGGACTTCCAGCCCAGTCTTCTCCCTCAGGGCCTCCGCTGTGAGGGGGAATGGGCAGCCGGGGCTGGCAGTCTGTTCTGGATGTGAGAACTCTAAGGAAGTAGCTCCTCAAGGTGTGGACAACCCCAGGTAACAGATGTAGGAACCTTGACCCAAATCCAAACCCTAATCCTGAATTTTGCTGTCCCCACCAGGTTTTAATCCTGACCCTGCCCAGGGTTTTAAGGACTGACCCAAATCCTGAACCAAGAGGAAGGACTTGTGGTCTACCCTCCCTGCCCCACTTGCCCTGAAGCCTCTGCAAGCAGCCCCTGAGCAGCTGCTGCCCCTTCCCTCCGCGGGAAGTGGAAGGGCGTCTAGACATCCCGAGGGCCCTGTCCTAGGTAGCAGAGTTGGGGGCCGTAATGGTGCCATCCACGTGGATATCACAGTTATGCCTGGCCCAGGGTTTCACGTTGGGGGAGATTCTCACAATAGAATCCATGGCTCTGTGGGCATGACCGACAAATGGGCCACGATGGGGTGGGGCCCCCTGCCCTGTGCCAGGTGGGCAGAGCCCAAGCCCTCCTGGGTGGCTTGAAACCCACTCATGACGACCGTGCAACAAGGGATACCTTCACTCACAGAGGGTCAGACCTGGCTGCCCTGGTGTGCCGTGGGCCTGGGGACTCTGGGCGCCCTACGTGCCTCCCCAGATGCTGCAGAGAACCTGGAGCTGGGGCGGCACTTGAAACTCACCCTGCCCTGCTGGTGGACCCAGTTAAACTGCCTGTGCAAAGTTGGGCACTGGACCTTCCCTCACCCCCACAGGGCAGCTGTGCCTTGTCCACCTGGGTGCTCTCAGGATTCCCCAGGACCACCTCCACCCCAGGTGTATGCAGGAAGTGGGCTGAGGGGGCTCTGAGTGCAGTCCAGCCCAGCTGCTTGGTCTTGGGCCAAGCTGCCCTCCTCTAGACCTGGGCTGCTGGAGGTTGTTGAGATTGTTGAGGTGGGGGGGGACTGCTGGTGCTCAGGGGCATGACCTTGGTGGTCAAGGCAGCAGAGCACCCCGGATTCAAGTCCCAGACCTGGCACTCTCACTGTGAGCATCAAGTGACCAGGTTCACCTGCTGGAAAGAGTCAAGACAGCTTTCCAGATGGTCCCCGACAAAAGGATCCAATGTGGATGTTAGACACTGAACGCTTTTGCCACTGGTCCCTCAGGCCTTGGTTTTCCCCAATCAGGGTGCCCTTGACCACCACCCACCAGGCACCCATATCCCAGGGTTCCCTGGATCTGTGTGGATGCAGGGCAGGCCCTGCTCCATTCATCAAAGTTTTGACTTCTGGGCATCTCTCTGTGCCCTTCTGTGGAGTGGGGACAGCAGTGTGCCAAGGGGTGCATTCAGATCTTTCCCCCCACAGAACCGGGTGTTGGAGGAACTGGACCTTCCCACCTGCCCGGTATCCCAAGCACTCCAGGATCATAGTTTTAGAAAGAAGTGACACCTGAGACTGAGCCAGAACACCACCCACCCAGTACTTCCTGGTTTTGCAGGGCTCAGGGTGTCCAGCACCGGTGCCCTTCCCCGTAGAATAAAATGTCGCTCGGCCAAGCCCAGAGCACGTGTCCTTCGGGGTGGGCTCCGAGCTGTCCACACCCCATATCTGCAGCCTCTGTGCACCCAAACTCTGCCTGTAGCCACCTGCTCGTACCCCCAGGGCGGCCCTTCCCTGGGGGACGCCCTGGGGAACACCCTGCGTGCCCTCGAGCCCGCTGTCCCTGAGCGTCCAGCGGCCTTTCTCAGCTCGGAGATCCCTGTGCTCTGCGCTCCTCACCCTGTTCCCCTCCCGCGCACCCCGCACGCGTGCCCTCATCCCTGCACTGCCGCATTCCCCAGCCACCCCGCCGCCCCTCCTGCTGTCACCGCCCCGCTCCGCCCCCGTCACCGCCCCGCCCCTCCCCTCCGCCGGGGCGGCTCCGCGGCCATGTGACCCTGCGGCCCTGGGACGCGACGGGACGCGCTGGGACGCGCTCCGGGGGTCGCGGGCACGGCCCGGACGGGGGCGACATGGAGCGGAGGTGGGTCTTCGTGCTGCTCGACGTGCTGTGCGTGTTGGTCGGTAAGAGCCGCGGGCCCAGGTGTGGGGACCCGGGCGGACACGCCCCCGGCCGCAAGA